CTTCTCAGTGACGAAGATCTCAACATTGACAAAATCAACAAACAGTTCAGTGACATAATAAAGGAAACTACACTTGAAGTAGGCGGTAAGAACATTTAACAAAGCTCCAGCAAGCCCTCGTTAGGAACAAACAGTTTATGCAAAAACGTAAGGTCATGAGAGTATCGTCAAACAGGAACAAAATAGAATAAAAAATATCAATCCCCAAATACATTTCTTGCTTCTTGTTACCAGTGATAAGAAAGTGATGCCAGATGTAGAACGAAAAGATGACAAAATTAAAAAAAAAAAATGTACGATGCTCTCATAACAAAACGCAAAACAATAAGGATAATCTAATTATAGATAATTGTAGATAATTTCCCCATGAGTAAATGCTCAAATGTAGCTATATGCGTTTCTTCAGGTTTGGCTGTTGTTTTCATTGCTTATGCAACATAGGAATCCGTGTAAAGTTCCCTGAGTTGTGCTCGGTGTCTTGCCTGCAGCGAACAGGAAGGAGTGTGGCAACCGGAAAATACGCTTGCAGAAGACGGTGGTCGTTATATATATATATATATATTAATCGGCAATTATTACCAGATATGTCACTGTTTTTGCCGTAGCTGGAGACATTCGTGATGTTTTCTTCTCATTTTTTTTTCTTTTTATGTATTTATCTCTTTTATTCATCATTGGAAACCAAGGTGTCTGGGAAGACCTGGTAACCTCCGGCAATGCTCGTACACATACACACGCACACACGTTCAGACACCTACACAGGCATATAAGGCAAGTATCTAAGAGCACAACCACACAGGAAGACTACACTGAACACCCATCACGACTATATAGTAGATTAGTCAAATATCAAGTCCTGAAAGTAAGTTAAGTATATATTTATTGTCATGTGTACGATTAACCCTTTTAATAGTATTCTTTTTTTCGGGTCATTTTCGACATTTTCTGTGCTTATGTGTATCTATATATATATATATATATATATATATATATATATATATATATATATATATATATATATATATATATATATTATTTTATTTTTTTATTTTTTTTTTTTTGTGAGAATCCAGGTGTATTTCTGTTTATATGTATGCGATGCTGTTAAACTGTGGGTTGATATTTGTATGTGTATCTATACATGTTTATATGTGTTCCCATTTAATGTTTATTTTAGTATATGAACAGGTATCTTCTTATACGTATGGTGTTTACAGTCACTGTTATTAGATATCTATATTGTAGCCATGCCTTTATATCCGTGCTAATTGGCTTCAGTATGTCCGTACTGACTATGTCTTCAAAATCTGCGGTTTTACTGTGCTTAACTGCCTGTGTTAAAAGCGGAAATATCCATTATTAAATACATTTGACATATTTTATGCAATAGATGGGTATGTATAGATGGTATCTAAAAGAAAAATTCTCTCTTTGTCTGCTTATCTGTCTGTCAATCTGTTCCTCTCTCTACCTATCTCTTTCTCTCTCTCTTTCTCCCCCCCTCCTCTCTCTCTCTCTTTTCCCCCATCTCTCTCTTTCTCTAAAAGAGAACATATCGACTGAGAAACGATATTTCTTAATTTTAGACTGAACGTTCAAATCATGTTCCGGAGGTTCACTGCTCATTTTCGTCTCGTCTTCGTCTTCGTGATCTGTTCAGTTATTGGTAAGTGAACAATTCTTATTTGCCAATGCTCATGAAAAAAAATGCTTTATGAAAGATACTGAGAGTAAAAATTGCAGGAGTAATCAAAATCATTGTCATTGTTATATTTTTACTTCAACTTTTCGTCGTTGCATTATCATTATTGTTACTATTGTAACCCCATAATCATCCTTATCATCATCAGCATCATTATCTTCATCATCAATCATAGCCATTATCATAATTATCATCACCACCACGCCGTCGCCATCACCATTATCATTACCATCATTATATTCATCATCATCATTATCACTATCGTCATCATCTTCATTATCATCCTCATCATTACCACCATTACCATCATCATCACCATCCCACCTACCACCATCATCACCATTATTCCTATCCCATCTAACATCCTCCTCATGATAATAATAACCACACTGACCTTTAATTCCCTCCTCCTCCCCATCAGGTATGGCAACAGGAGGTCGTCACCTTTGTTTCAAGGAGCCATTCAATTGCCATAGAAACCCCCATACCCCTTGCTGTCACCCCCCTGCCCCCACCCCTGAGCTTGTCACAGAACCGCCTCCTCTCCCTCTCGACTTCCCGAAAGCTACATTTTCAATTTAATCGCATTCCGAAAATGTTTACCTACCATGGCAAAACTCACACATGTCACTACATTAATAAAAACAAAGAGTAGCAGATAAAACAATCATGAAAAGAGAATCCACATGTTTGTACTGCATAACAGGAATATTATGAGAAGAGGAATAAAGAGTTACCCATACATTTTTATTTTTTTTTTATTTTGAAATTAGACAATAAAGTATTGTTTTCACTCGGCTTCACATAATTCAATGTCCAGATATATTAAGGCAATCAATCAGTTTGTGTTTCAGATATATGTAAAATCGTCTGTTCATGTACTATGTATCAGTAGGTTTCCTACTGATAGATAATCAAATATACTGATCAATAATCGTAATGGGCACAATACTATCACTGAAAATAGGTGTGTGTGTGTCTGTTTGACTGTGTGTGTTTATGTATGTGTGCGTGTATGTGTGTGTGTAATAGTATATGCTCCATTTCATCTTTTGACAATGTCATCACCAATCGAAATTGTCAAGAGAATCTTACATATACATGAATCACATACCAAAATGGTATTGATAATAATACAAACAATAAGACGAACCAGGATATCATACTTAAAGCATTACTGAAGAAAAATATGGTGACATTAATACATAATAAACAATAAACAAATAAACAGATTATCCCTAGAATATCTACGCCTTCCCCTTTACCCCCCCCCCACCTTCACAACCCCCTCCCTCCCCCTTTGGTCTACCTCTTGAATGAATGAATGGTTGAGTAAAGGGATTTTCATTTCCCGGTGTCTACTTGAGAATCTAATGTGTTTGAGGTTGTGAATCTGACCGATGGTTCCATCCGATCTCTTCCTTTTCGCCAACTGAGCTAGAAAAATAGAGAATATAAAGATAAATGGATAGATGAATAAATAGATATACATACAGGTATATATATGTGCACACACAGACATTTATATATATATAAAGAGAGAGACATATATATATAAATATATATATATATATATATATCTGTGTGTTTATATACATATATATACATACATACATACACACACACACACACGCATATATATATATATACATATATATATATATATATATATACATATATATATATATGTATGTATACATTTATATATATATATATATATATATATATATATATATATATGTATTATATATATTTATATATACATATATATATAAATATATACATATATAGACACACATACATAGATATGAATATTTGAATATATATATACAATGTGTGTGTGTGTTGGTGTATATATATATAAAGAGAGAGAGACACATATATACATATATATACATGCATACATATATATACACATATATATTATATATATATATATATATATATATATATATATATAAATATAATATATACATATATATACATGCATACATATATATACACATATATATTATATATATATATATATATATATATATATATATATATATATATACATATATATAGACACACACGTACATAGAAATATATATATATATATATATATATATATATATATATATATATATATATATATATAATGTGTGTGAGTGTGTGTATGTGTGCAAATATATATATACATATATATATATATATATATATATATATATATATATATATGATAATATTGATAATGGTCAGAAAAATAACAATAATAATAACAATTACAATAATAGTAATGATGATAACAATAACAACAATAAAACATATAACAAGAACAAGAATAATAATGATAGTAATAACAATATTGATGATAATAATAATAATAATAGCCATCATCATCATCATCACCATAATAATATAAATGATAATAATGTTACTAACAACAACAATAAAAAAGGAAAAGATTATAAATAAAGCAATCAGAACACAAGAAAAGAGAGATAGGGAGAAAGAGAGAGACAGACAGACTGACAGACAGACAGTCAGAGACTGAGACAGACAGACAGACATACAGAGAAAGAGAGGGAGGAAGAGAGAGAGAGACAGACAGAAAAAGAGAGAAGAGAAAGAGAGGGGGGGAGGGAGAGAGAAAGAGAGAGAGAGAGAGCGAACGAGAGAGAGAGAGAGAAAGAGAGAGAGAGGGAGAGAGAAAGAGAAAGAGAGCGAGCGAGAGAGAGAGCGAACGAGAGAGAGAGAGCGAGAGAGAGCAAGAGCAAGCGAGAGAGAGAGAGAAAGAGAGCGAGCGAGCGAGAGAGAGAGGGAGAACAATAATAACAAGAGAGATAAGTCCCTGGTAAATTTCACTAACCATAAGTTTCACAGCATCTTCACGGACCCTCCTGTTCAACACGATTCCGAAGATGAACATCCACACGCCTTGGAAGCTGTTGGTCAGAATGAAGACGATGGCCAGGGTGGTAGATTCTGTTTGGGTTATAAGACACTTATCCTTTAGTTAATCACTTATTCTTGTATCTTTTCGGCGTCTTTTCTTTCTTTCTTGTAAAGCTATTGTCTGTAAGATTATGAGTGAGGTAAGGCCTATTTTGCTCATATAGAGATGCTCACCAACACTTTCTCTCTATCTGTCTATCTATCTATCTCTCGCCTTTGTTGTATTTTCTATCGTTCTCTCTTTATCTCTGATCGCTCTCTCTTCCTCCTATATCCCTCGTCTTCTACCTATTTTATCCTCCCTCATGCACTCTTTCCTAACCTCTTCCCTTCCCTAACCCTCATCCCTTCCCCCTTACCTTCACCCCTTCCCCCCATCCCAACCCATAACCTCTTTACCCCTTTCCCTCACCCCTCCCCTTCCCTTTTCCCAACCCTCACTCCCTCTCTTACCCTCCCCCCTTACTTAAATCACTTACCCCTTCCCCCTTTATTCCTATTCCCCTTATCCAATCCCCCCTTTCCCCTCACCCCCTTACCCCCAACCCTACCTTCACCTCCCACACTCCCACCCTTTTCCACTTATCCAAACCCCCCACTTTTGCCTTACCCCTTACCCCCATCCCCGCTTCCTCCTTTCCCCTCTTCCTCCTCCCCCTTCCCCCTTTCCCCTCTTCCCCACCCCACCCCACCCTACCGTACCGAAAGCGGCGTAGAGAATCCCGGTCAACCAGGTGAGGCCGAGGACGAGGAAGATGGTAAGGGTGCCCCAGATTCGGTCAGTCTGCCATTTGCTATCAGTGCCAGCTGGCTGAGGACTCTTGGCCTTCATCGTTCGCGCTAAGACCAAGCGCAACACCATCACGAAGGCGAGGAGGTTTATCTGAAAGGGAGGGGGAAGGGGTTGTGAGGGTTGGTGGTGATGGGGAGAGAGGGTGAGGGGGAGAGAGAATGAGAGTGAGAGATTGTGATGGTGAATGATGGCTGGTGCTGATGGTGACATGGCGACAGTGAGAGATGGTGATGGTGATGTGTGGTGACAGTGAGAGACAGTGATGGAGTGATGTGGTTATAGCGAGAGATGATGTGAGATATTGATGTTGAGAGGTGATGATAGTGAGAGATGGTGATGGTCAGGATAAAGACAGTGATTGTGATGGTGTGAGTTGGTGGTAGATGTTGATGAGGGCGTTGATAATGATGGTGATAGTGACGTAGTGATAAAGATTATATTTATGATGTGATGGAGACATTAATAGTAATGATTTGATGGTGATAGCGATTATCCTTTGGCGATAGCAAATTGCCGATGATAAAGACAGAAGTAAATATACTGAGGAAGATTTGATTTTTGTGCCAATGTAAAATATTCGAAATAGATACTTGGAAATATAGGAGACTGAGTGAGAGAGAGGAAGAAAGAGGAAGTGAGAGAGAGAGAGAGAGAGACAGATAGTCAGATAGACAAACAGACAGACAGAAAGAGAAAACCCAAACTGAACTAATATGCAAACTCAAAAAGACAAAAGACAAAAAAAAAAAAATACCCTTATAGTCATTGCTAGTTTGGTGATATGTTTTGACAGTTAATAAAACTGCAACATGTTTCATTTAAGTCCAGACCAAAGAAAAGGAAATCAAACACTGCAGTAAATTTAGTTCAACTGTTTTTCTCTTTATAAGAAGAGACACTAACAAAGAGATATATAGAGATGAAACAGACACAGGCGTAAAGATAAAGACGAGATTCAGAAAAAAAAGACAAACAGGAAAGACATAGACACAGACAGAAAGACAGATAGTAAGAGCCGTAGACAGGCACATTCCTGATAAAAAAAAAAAAAACATAAACACAGATGTACACAAATACGCAGAAACAGATGCAATAACGACACTGACACAGACACAGAAACAGACACACAGAAGCGCAGAAACAGACACATAAACGAACATAGAAACAGACACACACTCGAACACAGACATAGAACAGACACATATACTTGTACACTCAAAACGCACACAGGCACATAAACAGACACACATAATCGCACATAGGCACACAAAATACACACAGACACAGAAACAGACACACAGAATCGCACACAGACACAGAAAAACACAGAATTGCAGAAACAGATACATAAAACACACACGGACACAAAAGCAGACACACAAAACGCACATAGGCACAGAAACATACAGAAACACACAAACAAACAGACAGACACAAAACACCGACAGAAACACACAAGAACGCGACTCACAGCGAGGATCAGTGCCACGATGCCAAAGAACGTCCACATCATCGCCCCGGGTGCCAACCAGCATCTGAAAGGTCACAGAAATTTTCTCCTTGATTAAAAGAATTGGTTGGAGATGTTCAGCTAGACTGATCCTCCCCTACAGGAAATCTAAGGTTTGGTTCTGAAGTTATTCTCTCTATCTATCTATTTATCTGTCTATCAATCTATCTACCTATCTTTCTCTCTCTCTCTCTTTGTGTGCTGTGTGGTGCAGCGGTAGCGATCTCGTCTAGCAATCTTGCTGACCTGCGTTCAAATCCCTCGCCGGTAGTGGATGGTAACCCCGGCCATTCCTTGCACACAGGGGATAACTTAGAAGGAAAATGAAACAGACACTATGTCACACCAAGAATATCCATTGTAACAAATGGAATCAAACTAAACTAAACCTCTCCCTCTCTCTCTCTTCAGCTATCTATTTCTCTCTCTCTCTCTCTCTCTCTGCAAATGGGTTTTTAAGAAATGTATTTCGCAGTTTTATTATTATCATTATTATTATTATTACAGAAGTTGGGTTTTAAATTTCTAGCTCTTAAACTTCTCGAATTATCTGACATT